ATTCACAAGGAGAAAATGGCGGGAACAGATCTGACCTTCGAGTATGAGTAGTGTCTATTAATCGCCAGTGACCCGAAATGGAACATGCAGTTTGTTTTGTTCTAATAACGCCAGATCTAACATGGTGGGGCGTGATCAGTGTTTGAGTAGTGTCAGTTATGATGTGGTCACGTTCGTTGTAGGCCATTGTTCGATTTTGATGACAATGACCTTTATTACGTATTATCATATAGCCGGACGGCGCGGACCAATCAGAGGCCCGGATACCCGTGCTGTTATTTCCCGATAACAGCACATGTGGTGTTATGGCGGAATAACAGCACATGTCGTGTTATGGCTGATACCATTATGTTATAGGGTATAGGGGCATGCGACTCTTTCTGTAAACCTTTGTAGCATTTTTCTGTCCAATAAACTTTTTTGTTTAGCTTCATTTAAACTACAATTTGCATTAAATGAAATTATCCATATTTGTTTTAAAGCGTATAATATATTCCAATGTATTTTTATGTATGTATATATATTAAAGCTGTTGTATTTCAAACAGGAATTGTGTTGATTGACAGTTTGGATAGGCTATATGATAATAATTTTAATGCACTGCCTTTTCCTCGTTGTATATGGTGTCATAACTGCATGGGCAGCTGCCATAACCACCTCATAAACCACCTCGTTCGCTTCGCTCACACGGTGGTTTATTCGGTGGTTATGGCAGCTGCTCATGCAGTTATGACACCATATACAACTCGGGGCAGTGCATTAACCCTTTATTATCATATAGCCGGATGACATTGACCAATCAGAAGGCTCAATTCCACATTCCTTATGATGCCGTAATGTCACAAATAGAGTCAAAACCTGGTATTTATTCATCCCAATCCATACATTAAACAACCCAATAATCACCCGCATATGACCTCAGGTGACCCAATAGAACGCGGCTCTAGTTCCAAAAAAATCCAAAAATAACTTGAGTTGTGTTCCAATGACCACGGGTGACTCCCATAAGCCCTCCCCTGTGTCCTCAGGGGTTTCCAGATGGAACTATGTTCTATGTTCTGTTCAGCGTGTACATATATGTGCAAGGGGTAATTTGTACATTGTGTCACTCTTAACTGCATCAGTTTGGGTACTTTAGGCTATCGTGTAAGCTATATGATAATAGCGTTAATGGCCCGCCCTTTCTCGGTGAATATGGTGTGATAAAGCCTTGTCAGTTGCTATAACCACCTCATAAAGCCACCTCTTTCGCTGCGCTCACTTGGTGGCTTTATGAGGTGGTTATATAACTGACAAGGCTTTATCACACCATATTCACCTCAGGGCGGGTCATTAACCCTTAACCCACGCCCTACATGAGCCAAATGTCAGATACCTGAGGTACAGGGGTTGGGGGAACAACTGCTACATTGCTCTGCTATGTCTATATCTACAAGATCTCATATCTCTTTTGAAACAAGTATGAACAAATGTACATAGTTTTCCATATACATGTACATCATAGTCCCTTGATGACATAATATGTTTGAACAATTCCTTTTTCGGTAAGTGCGTATACTTCTGTTCTTACTGAAAGGGACTAAAAAAAATTATAATTGATGCAGATATTTTGGTGGCTGTAAGACAATATCAAACTGGCAAGGCAGTATCAAAGTTACACTTTGTTTTAATTCACAATAATGTATATATCTTTTAACCGCCGGTGCAGTTAACAATGTGGTCGCAAGGTTACAAGTGTATGTATGTACACTCCGGGACATACATTCGTCATAAATAATGTATGTTTTCTGTGCCTGAAGCTGCATGATTAAAGCTCAACATAATTATACCAAGGAGGTTTAAAATCTTGATCATACTCAACGATTGTATGTGTTACAACGTATGGCAACTACCACAGTTCTAGAAAACTCCTTTACTTTGAATATGTACATGTATGTATAGTACTTAATATAGCTACTCTCCAAGCAGAGGTTTGGGTTTTGGTGGTATTTTAGCGTGTTTTTAGGCTTTTTATCGGGGTTTCTCTTTTCCACTAAATCCCCCCCCCCCAAAAAAAATCAGTGCGAAAGAGAAACCCCGATAAAAAGACCTAAAAAGACGCTAAAAATACCCCCAAAACACAAACCTCTGCTTAGAGAGTATAATATAGTACCGTCTGGGGAGTCTCCCCCTGTCTGCCAGGAGGAGGTCATGTGACAGGGCTTTACCCAATGATAGACAACTGTGGGGTTTTCAAATCTACCCAATATACCAGTAGTATTGTTGCTGTGCGTCTACTCGAAGGAGGCTTGGACTCGTTTGAACCCGAAAGGCTTGGCCGAGACACAGCTTTTATCACCAGATGTGACCACGGCGGAACTAAGACAAATCTCCCATTCTGTACAAGTCTGTGGGATGGCGTAGATTGGAGATATTGAACATGTCACGGCGCAGAGTTGGAAGATCACGGCCGTATTGTATCGTCCTAACCGGGAGCAGCACAGAGTTAGAAGTTGAACAAGATCGCTACCTGACCATCACGGGAACAAGTCATCGGATTATTCCTCTTGCGGTGACCACATCACATGGACTAGTGGGCAAATGGACACTGGAATTGTAATTGTGCACTCTGCACTCGGATACAACAAAGAAAATCCTGCCCTGGTAGCCAGTCTGGATCGGGAATCCAGCCAGCCCCCGTCGGCGGAACATGGCAGTATGCCCGCCGATCTACATTAGCACTACGGGGGAGTTGCACCCCGAGAGGATTTTACCGCTCGGGCAGAAACTCCCCCGACGGCCTAGCCTGGATGCAAGACCCATGGCATACTAGGTGTGCACACTAGAAATAACTTTGAGTCTAGGGTGCTATGACTCTGGCATCCAGGCTACCGAAGGCCCGATCCAGCCAGTCTACCAAGGCAGGAAAGGTTAGCCCTGGCACAGAAATTTACTGTTCATTAACGACAAATAAACGCACAGATAAAACAAAATAAACGTCAATATTACGCACACGTTAAGGGTACTTTACGACACCATTAACGACACCTTTAAGCGTACTGGAAAACCCGAAAACCACGACGGAAAGAAGTTTTTAAGGTCCCCAATAGACTACGGAAAGGCCACAATAAACGCATGCTTTCCGTGCAAGTTCCGTTCTAAAACGTATGACGTAAAGAAAAACATATATGACCTCATAAATTGTCATATTACGTATACGTTTTATGGCACCAAAATTGTTGTTATGATTTAAGTTTACTAGTAGACTATTCTCAATAATCATGCAATGGATTTATAAGTTACAGGGGTATAGCCCCCCCCCAAAAAAAAAACCACAAAAAAAGCCCAGAATGAATACGTTTCATGAGCTTGCCTTATTTGAGACAACCCAATCAGATCAATCTAAAGACACCAATATGGCGGTGCTATGACTCGCTGAAAGCTGCTGAGAGACACGCCCCAAAAACTGTCTCAGCAGAGCCGACACAAGACTTATTGTAAATAGTCGGCGGGACGTCCGGACGGCTCTGCGAGGAAAAACGTCATTTGCAAGAACTTATAATATATGATGCCGGCCGCGAATCACTTGATATCCTGTCCCTGAAATGAGATAATTTTTGCACTGAATACTATATGCTGCAATACATCCTCACTTCTAGTTACTCATACTGAATAGCGCTTTGGAAATTTCTATCTGTCTGCTAACATTGTGTATGCAATTACATTTGTATTGCTAAATCACTCCTAAATCCACCAGTACTTATCACTACGAAATTTTGTAATTTTCTATCAAGCATTTTCTGACCTACACTTTCTTTTCCCTTTATTTGCACAAAAAAGACTTTGACACAATGATAAGGATAAAGATTAAAACAAAGCAATGGGAGAAAGTTTAAAAAAGGCAATGGGGACCCATGCTCATCGAAACTTGTTCTGTTTGTAAATGGACTTCGTCACAAAATAGGCTAAAACTTTTTAACGATACACCTTTGAGGATTTAACATTATCATAAGTGATGCTTCTCTTGGTTAATCTTTCCCGGTTGCCTGCTCAGCCTTCTAGAGGCAAATATATGTACAGTTTATATCGATACAAATATCAAACAAGCTCAGTTCAAACGATACAAACTTTGCGAACAATTCTCCATTATCGTAGAGGATTTGTGTGCGGGCATCTCAACGAGTGTTTTCTTTTTGGTCGAGCACACAGAGGCCCCGAAGCGCCGTCTATAAAAATCAAAGTTGACCTTCGTCTCACCCACACAGATTAGTCTGACATTTCCTGAAGAACAAAATACCTCGCCTCAAAAGGTGAAGGGCGTTTCAGCACAGCCGACCCAACACTTACCACACGGTGGTCCAATCTGGGCTGCAAATTTCCACCTTAGCGCCTAGCAAAGAATACCATAGCAACAGACCGCCGTGTTATTGTAAATAGCC